TCTTTGATATTTCGTGGAATGGTTTGGGTGGGAAGGAATCCCCACCAGCTCCATCCAGGGACACATTCCATTATCCCAGCGTGCTCCAAACTGTCCTGGTACACTTCCAGGGATCGAGCCACAGCTTCTCTGGGAATTCAATTCCATCCCCTCCCAGCCAGGAACTCCTTCCCCAAAATCCCCTCTGGCAATGTGAATCCATTCCCCCTTGTCCTGTCGCTCCATCCCTGGCTCAAAATCCCTTTCCCAGCTCTCTTGGAGGCACTAAAAGGCCACAATAAAGTCATCCCGAGGCTTCTCCCAGTTTTTTGGGGGGTTTGTTCTCCCTCTCCTGCCTGTCCTGACCCACCTGTATCCATCGTGCTGGGTGCACTCGTTCCCTGTCAGGTCGAGGATCTGGAGGCTGCGGGGCAGCTCCTCTGCCGGGATAAAATCACAGAGGGGCTGAGCTGGGAGCTGAGCCCCTCCAGCCAAAATTCCTGCTCCCCTCAAAGTCCCACAGCTCTCCCCTCACTCCTGAGGCAACTCATTTCACCCCTACGCCCAGGGAAACTGAGGCAGGGAGAGCAGGGGGTGTGAATTCCATAAATCCTGGCAGATCCCCTGGATCTGTTCCTGCTTCCCACCTGTGTCCAGCACCTGGATCAGGTTGTGGGACAGGTCCAGGGCACGCAGGTGGGGCAGGGCCTGAAGGTTTTCCACCTTCTGGATGCGATTCCCAGCCAGGCAGAGGAACCTGGAGAGCACAGGGGTGTTGAGGAGGTCCCAAAGGCTGGAATTTGACTCCCTTCCCCAGCCAAAGGTGGAAATAAATCCTTGGGAGCAGGAGCTGCTGTACCTCAGGTTGGGAAAAGACTCCAAATTTTCCATCTTCTCAATTCGGTTCTGGAAAATAAAATAGAGGAAAAAAAATCCAAAACCGAAGGTGTTTTTACCTACTGTGTACAAAAATCGCATTTTGGGAACGCTCTGGGATTGCTCCAACAAATCCTGGGGGCAACACGATGTGCCACAGGAGATTGTGGAGAGGGAATGGGGTGGGTAGACCCCAAAATTCAGGACCCTGAGTATCCCCATGTGGGTTTGGAAACATTGGAATTCCCAGTGGGGTTGGCATTGGATGGGAGGGAACAGGGAGGGGGCTCAGAGACCTCCAGGGTGGGTCTGGGGGGGGGTCACTGGGATAAAACCCTCCAGGATGAGGGGAAACTGTTCCCTTCTGGATATTGGGGAGGGAAAACAGGAGCAGAATTGGGGGTGTCTGTGCCCCCCCAGGAGCAGAATTTGGGGTGTCTGTGCCCCCCAGGAGCAGAACTGGGGGTGTCTGTGCCCCCCCCAGGAGCAGAATTTGGGGTGTCTGTGCCCCCCAGGAGCAGAATTTGGGGTGTCTGTGCCCCCCCAGGAGCAGAATTGGGGGTGTCTGTGCCCCCCCAGGAGCAGAATTTGGGGTGTCTGTGCCCCCCCAGGAGCAGGGCTGGTCCCACACAGCTCCGTACCTGCTGCAGGTAGAGGCTGTGGATGTCTCCCAGCCTCTGCAGTTTCCCGATGGAGGAGATGTTCTCCCGATCCAAGCGGATGCTGGAGGTGGGCAATGGCCCCGTGGATCTAAAAGAACACAGGGAGGGGTTTTTGGGGGTGCCCTGAGCCCCCTCCCTGCCAGCCCGGCCTCTGTGGGATCCTCACCTGATCCGGGTCATGATGAGGCTGTTACTGAGGGTCACTCCTGGGGATGGCTCCTCAGGAGCTGTGGGAATTCAGAGTGAGGGTCCAGGCCAGGGGTGCAGCCCCCCTGTCCCCACCCTGACCGGGAGGAGCCCCCCCAAGTGTCTCACTCACCCCCACAAAGGATGAGCTCAGCCATGGCAGGGGTGGCCTGGGGGTCCATGGCCCCTCCTTGGGAAAGGGTTTGAGGGGGATGCTGGAAGGGAAAGGGTCTGTGGGAAAAGAGGGTGAAAAACCTGTGGATTGAGGATGTCAATAGGGAAAGGATTGCTGGGATGGGGGTCAGTGCTGGAACCTCGCAGTGGGGTAGAGGAGCTCTGTATCCAAGGGGATTATAGAACTGGAACTGGAGGATTAGTGGGATCAGGAGCTCCGGTTTGGGGGTCTCAGAGACCCCCGGGATGGAGGCTGGGGAGCTCACTGGGACCAGGCCCCACTGGAAGGGGGGCTCTTAGACACCCCCGAGATCGAGTCACGGCAGCTCAGCCAGACCGGGTACCACGGGTTTGGGGCTCAGAGACCCCCGGAAAGGCCGGGGGGGCTCACCGGGACCGTTTCCCCGGGTTTGGGGCTCAGATTCCCTCACTTTGGGGGGGCTCAAAGACCCCCGGTCCAGGCTCGGAGGCGCCCAGGCCGCGCCGCGCCGTTGCTATGGAGACGGGCGCACCGGAAGTGGCGAGTCCTCCACCGTCCCACAAGCCCTTGCGCGGTCGCGGCAAAAATGGCGACGCTGGGGGGTGGCGGGACGCGATGGCGGCGGGGTGAGAGACCGGGAACGGCAATGGGAACCGGGCTGGGACGGGAACGGGAACGGGAATGGGAATGGGACAGGGGTTTGGAATGGGAATGGGAGCGGGAATGGGAATGGGAATGGGAATGGGAATGGGAATGGGAATGGGAACGGGACTGGGACAGGAATAGGAACGGCAACGGCAATGGAAATGGGAATGACAATGGCAATGGGAATGGGGCTGGGACAGGAATGGGAGTGGAAACGGCAATGGGAACGGGTCTGGGACAGGAACAGGAATAGGAATGGGAATGGGAACGGCAATGGGAATGGGAATGGGAACGGCAATGGGAACGGGGCTGGGACACGAATAGCAACGGGAATGGGACTGGGATAGGAATGGGAACGGAAATGGCAATGGGAATGGAGCTGGGACAGGAACGGGAATGGGACTAGGACAGGAATGGGAATGGGACTGGGACAGGAATGGGAATGGGACTGGGACAGGAATGGGAACAGGAATGGGACAAGAATGGGAATGGGGCTGGGATAGGAATGGAAACGGGAATGGGACTGGGACTGGGACAGGAATGGGAATGAGGCTGGGACAGGAATGGGAATGGGACTGGGACAGGGCTTTGGAATGGGAATGAGACAAGAATGGGAACGGGAGTGGGAATGGGACTGAGACAGGAATGAGAACTGGACAGGGGGCAGGGATTGGGAACGGGAACGAGACTGGGACAGGGGCTTGGAATGGGAACAGGAGGGAGCAAAGACCGGGAACAGGAGCGGATTTGGGGCAGGGCCAGAAACCGGGACAAGGCGTGGGAGCAGGGCTGGAGCCCCGGGGAGCGCCCGGTGCCGGTGCCGGTGCTGAGCGCTGCCCCGCAGCCTGGCTGCCCGCCCTGCAGCTCCTGCGGCGCGGCTCCAAGGCGGTGACACGGCACTGGAAGGCCATGCACTTCCAGCGGCAGAAGCTGATGGCTGTCACCGAGTACCTGTCCCCCCGGCCGGCGCTGCCCCCGCGCTGCCTGCCCCGCCCCAGCACACAGGGACACCAGGTGAGGCCCGGCCCGGCCCTGCCCCGGCTCTGCGGGAACCCAGGGGGGTGGGATAGAGCCTGGCTGGAGCTCGGGGAGGATCGTCCCAGAGTGTGGAATGCCGTGGTCAGGTGGTGGTGGGTGGGTGGAAACCAGGTGAGGCCCCACATGTGGAGTCTGGAGATCCGTGGGGGATCTGGAATCTTGAGATCCATGGGATTACCTCAGGATTCATGGAATCACGTCATGGTCCATGAGAAAACCTCAAGATCCATGAGAACATGATCATGATCCATGGGGGCACCTTGAGGTCCATGGGGACACCTTGAGGTCCACGGGATCATCTTGAGGTCCATGGGGACACCTCAGGATTCATGGAATCACCTCATGGTCCATGGGAGCAGCTCATGATCCATGGGATCACCTCAGGATTCATGGAACCTCCTCGTGGTCCATGAGAACGCCTTGAGGTCCATGGGAACACCTCATGATCCGTGGAACCACCTCAAAATCCACTGCATCACCTCACAGTCCTTGGGACCATATCCCACATTCCCTGTCCTGTACCCACATTCCCAGTCCCAAACCCCACATTCCCTGTCCCACATTTCACATTCCCAGTCCCACATCCCACATTCCCTGCCCCATATCCCACATTCCCAGTCTCATATCCCACATTCCCTGTCCCAAACCCCACATTCCCTGCCCCATATCCCACATTCCCATTCCCACATCCCATATTCCCATACCCGTATTCCCAGTCTCATATCCCACATTCCCAGTCCCAAACCCCATACCCACATTCCCTGTCCCATACCCACATTCCTAATCCCATATCCCACATTCCTAGTCCCAAACCCCACATCCCACATTCCCAGTCCCAGACCCCACATTCCCAGTCCCACATCCCACATTCCCAGTCCCAGACCCCACATTCCCAGTCCCACATCCCACATTCCCAGTCCCAAACCCCACATTCCCTGTCCCATATCCCACATTCCCTGTCCCATATCCCACATTCCCTGTCCCATATCCCACATTCCCAGTCCCAAACCCCACATTCCCAGTCCCAAACCCCACATTCCCAGTCCCAAACCCCACATTCCCTGTCCCATATCCCACATTCCCTGTCCCAAACCCCGCATTCCCAGTCCCATATCCCACATTCCCAGTCCCAAACCCCATATCCCACATTCCCAGTCCCAAACCCCACATTCCCAAACCCCACATCCCACATTCCCTGTCCCAGGAGGACGGCCAGGCGCGGGTGCTGCGGCGCCAGGTGGAGGAGACGCTGCGTGGCAGCCGCATGGTGGCCGTGTGCCAGTACAACTCCATGCCCGACGAGGACGTGGCCATGTTCCGGCACTACCTGCGCAGGCACAACATCCACGTCAAGTTCGTCCTCAACGAGGTGGGGGCTGGTCCCTGCCAGGGGCTGGGGGCTGGCCGGGTGGTGCCAGGGGTATCCCGGTGATGCCAGGGGTATCCCGGTGGTGCCAGGGGGATCCCGGTGGTGCCAGGGGGATCCTGGTGGTGCCAGGGGGATCCCGGTGGTGCCAGAGGAATCCCGGTGGTGCCAGGAGTATCCTGGTGGTGCCAGGAGTATCCCGGTGGTGCCAGGGGTATCCCGGTGGTGCCAGGGCTGTCCTGGTGGTGGCAGGGGTATCCCGGTGGTGCCAGGAGTATCCTGGTGGTGCCAGGAGTATCCCGGTGGTTCCAGGGGTATCCCGGTGGTGCCAGGGCTGTCCCGGAGGTTCCAGGGGTATCCCGGTGGTGCCAGGAGTATCCTGGTGGTGCCAGGGGTATCCCGGTGGTTCCAGGGGTGTCCTGGTGGTTCCAGGGGTGTCCTGGTGGTTCCAGGGTGGTTCCAGGGGTATCCTGGTGGTTCCAGGGATGTCCCAGTAGTTCCAGGGGTGTTCCAGTGGTTCCAGGGTGGTTCCAGGGCTATCCCAGTGGTTCCAGGACTATCCCAGTGGTTCCAGGGCTTTCCCCGTGGTTCCAGGACTTTCCCAGTGGTTCCAGGGGTGTTCCAGGGATGTCCCAGTGGTTCCAGAGTTGTCCCGGTGGTCCCAGGGCTATCCTGGCAGTTTCAGGGGTATCCCAGTGATTCCAGGGGTGTTCCGGGGGATACCCTGGTGGTCCCAGGGCTATCCCAATCGTTCCAGGAGTATCCCAGGGTGGTTCCAGGGAGTATCCCGGTGCCTCATGCCGAGCTCTCTCCCAGATTGTCCGGCCGGTTCTGGCGCAGTCCAAGTTCCGGAATTTGCTGCCGCTGTTCGTGTGCCGGAACATTCTGCTGGTGAGCCCGGAGCCGCGGGCCAGGGAGATGCTGCGAGTGCTCAAGGGAGTGCCACAGGTCAACC